GCAAGTAATGCCTAAATGTGTCAATACATGCATTACATGAAGAGGGCGTGTATTGAATGGACTTTCACTGAGAAATACAAACCTTTTTCGCAGACATTTGCCACAACCGTATGGATCCACTTCTTGTGATATTATGTCCACGAGATTATCAATATTATGTTCATTGGATTCATTCAATTGAATTAATATGAAAATAATAGTTTTATGAGACGTTTGACACGATTTCCTGTCATTCATTGAATGACTCATTTATATGGCATTCACTGGAAACACAAAACACATGATTTGTGGACATAAATGATGTGACAATACGTGTGAGTATTATATGAGTGTTTGTATCACTAATGCATGCATTCATCACTAAAGGGCACAACATTTGTGTTGACGTTATTATTAGTTAACACAGAATATATAAAACTTCAAGAATTTATTCATTGAATTAAAAATTAGATGCTTTTATCATAAATTAGATCAATTCATACTAAATATTTTAAACATTGAGTTAATTTTAAAACAATTAATTTAATAACGAGTATATAATTAACATTACAAATAAACATAATTATTTAAAATATTTTCACAACTCATGTGTAAATAATAATTGCAATGTTTGTCACATAGTTTTATGTATATAATTAAAGCAGTAATACAGTGACATAAGTGAGCTATTATCATTTATGAGCAGTCTAGCCAGATAAATTTTGTATAATTTATAACATTTCTTATGCATATAATTAATCAATTATTACAATTAAATATTTTTCGATATTTAATATTTAAAATAAATGTCAATTCTTATATCCAATGTAACGTATTTCACTTTGGCAATCACTTATATACTGTATTTAATAATACTTATGCATTACTGCATTCTTACTAATATTACAATGTGTATGTAATACTGATACTTCAAATATTGGAAGTCTGAACGGAAAACTCTTAAGTTTTGGTAACTTTTTGATGGACTTTTCAATGCTGGCACTCATTGGAAAGCATCCTGGTAAATTTAAACTGCTAACTTTCAACGTCTGAATGTGTGGTAAATGTATATGAATTGAGTCAAAGAATGTCTCATTGAATAGACAACTCTCCAGATCTAAGTACAAATGTGTTAACCGTTTCAATGGAGACAATTCGGTTGCCTCACATAATTTTTCACAATTTCTTCACAACATATACAATTTTATTTAAATATTAATTACATTAATTTAGTATTATAGTCATATAAGTAAGCATTATCATTTATAAATCGTCTATCCAGATAAATTTTTACTAGTTCATACGGTACAATCCTTTTTAAATTATAGAGAATTACAAGTATCTTACTGTATTAAATATTTAAAATAATGTAATTGTCAATTTTTGTTTACAATGTAATGTATATCACTTTCGTATAGGGTCATACACAAAAAAACAAGCGATCAGAAACATTAATAGCTTGCTAACTACGAGTCCTAGACTGAAGCGGTAAAAAGTATTATTAACATCTATTTAATGCAGAACTTTTACAGTTAAAATAAATTTTATCAAAATGTACAGTAATTGAAATAACGGAATGAACGCAAAGGTCATAGATACAGGTCAGGGAAGAGGTCATGGGTCAAAATGGTTAAGTGAGTTTGAAAGCGCAATAGTAGAGCTTTCATTTAAGCCATATGTGGTAAAAAAATAATTGCTAATAATGGCTGTGCGATACAAAATGTAAGATACGATTTCCCATGTTAAGGACCTAAAAATTAGAAATCAATGGATATTATTATGTCAGTACATGCTACCTTCTGTGCAAATAATATCAGTGAAAATTTTTTTTAATTATTCCAAATAATAAAGAAATGGCAGCGTTTTTAAAGTTTTGATTTATGTAAGTTTTTGCCAAAATTGCAAAATTTTAAAAATTCAAAACGCTGCCATTTCTCTATTAAGTGGAATAATTTAAAAATTCTTTCAGTGATATTATTTGCACAGAAGGTAGCATGTACTGACATAATAATATCCATTGATTTCTAAAATTTTTGTCCTTAACATGGGAAATCGTATCTTACATTTTGTATCGCACAGCCATTATTAGCAATTAGATTTTTATCACATATGGTTTATATGAAAGCTCTACTATTTAGCTTTCAAACTCACATAACAATTTTCACCCATGACCTCTACCATGACCTGTACCTATGACCTTTGCAAACATTCCATTATTTCTATTACTGTACATTTTTAAAAATTTTATTTTAACTGTAAAAGTACTGCATTAAATAGATGCTAATAATACTTTTTACCGTTCAAATCTAGGACTTGTAGTTAGGAAGCTATTGAAGTTTTCGCAGTCTTGTTTTTTGTGTGTATGCCCCTATATATATCTGAAAAAACAATACAAATGCTTTTAAAAAAATTTTTTGCAGTCCTCGATTGGTATTGCTTTCTCAGATAAATTGTCTACTTAAAAAGAGATGTCCCACCTTATCATTGTGAAAGCGATTTATGATATCGATGGTGCATTTCATAGCCCCCACTGACCCCCACCAAACCCCCATATATTTTGAAAATTGATGCGTACAATTTTGCACAATGCTACTTTAAAAATGCAAAAATTACAAAAATTAACATTACGTCTATGTAAACGGATAAATTAATTTAACCCCCGCGCACACCTCCTAAAATTCTGTAAATTGGTACATATAATCATATTCACTGGCGCTATAAGTGGTATGAATGAATTTGGTGTTCTGCAACTAGAAACATATATTTTTAAACAATTAAATATACATAAAATAAAATATCAGATCCGGAAAAAAGTTTCCGCAATGCCATTGCTTTAGTAAAAATTAAATTATTTCTTAACTAGATCATTTAATTTTAATC